CAGGTGGCCTCTCCAAGGCTGTAGTGTCTGCTGAGGTGAATGGACAACCCGTCAACACCCTAGTAGCCACAGGAAGCTTTTAGAGCTTTGTGAGCTATGACATCACCGCTTACCACGACTGATAGATGGCTTCTACGTCATTATGTTCTGCATTCCATTTTCAGACATAGACGTCACTGCTGGCCAACAACGATTCGTGACGACAGAGCACAAAAAGCCAGCAGATGCCAGAGGTGCCCCAGTGCAAAAGGCGAATGCCCCGACCGGTACAAGATCGGTGTAGTGTGCTTCTAAGAGCCTTTAAACTCTGCTCTGATTGGGCGTGACTACCCAGTGAACTGCAGCGCACCAAACAGGTCCTAGTAAATATTGGCGTTCGCGTAAATATTGGCTAAATATCGTTCACCAATTTCGTTGTGACATTGGAGATCGCAGGCTTCTAAAGGAATCAAACTACGTTGGTGCCACTAGCACCACACTTTGAAGGCGGTTTACGATGCACTTGGCTGACAGTGCTCCAAAAGAGCGCGTGCGAAAAGAATACGGCCGGAACATCAACCGAAACGACCTCAGCAGAAACACTACCATCAAAACATCATCAAACAGGAGGAAGCCTTATGTTCTGGAGGCTGTCACGATCAACACATCGTCACCGGAACTAAAAAGGCAAGCCAATCCCTCAGTTACCCTTCACCTCATTTAGACGCGATCGATACCATCCGTAGGTGGTAAACCTTACCATTCAGCGCGTGTCTTATCGCTTGAATCCTTATGCTCCTAAGCCAATCACCTAATTTAGACTCTATACCATTTGGCGATCGAACTGAACTTGATGAAACTTAATTGTCATACCTTACTAGCTATACCAAACTGCAATATGTAATCATATATTAGTCACTTGTATGCTACGTGTGTTACTTTGAAAATGAAATGCGTGATCCTAAAACGTTAATACAATAAATAGATGCCAAATATCGGCAAGCTACTTGTCAGTCTCAATGATGAGCAGAGAGCCATAATCAGAAAACTCAGGCAAGGACAGGAAAAGCTTATGAAATGTACCTAGACCAAGGTCTTTTAGAACACTTGCATATTTGAATATATATATATATATATATATATATATATATATATTTATATATATATATTCATATAATGAAAGATGCCCAAATATAACTATAAAGTTTGCTTAACGTTTCATGAAAAGTCTAGCCGATGTATCGTAGGCGTGATGCGTAGTATAATGTATCTTACCGATATCCTTGCACAAACCCGCATCTTTTCAAAAGTCTGTGCCCAATACAACGCGTTACCCATCTCATATGGGCAACTGTGGGCGTGTCTAGTCTGAGATGTCATCAAACTGCGGTTAGACACATTTCATTAGCAGTTGGAAACGACTACAAAAGTCGACATGCCTTCCTGCGCATGGCTGATGTTATCCAGCTGTAGGAAGCACGGTCCTGCTAACATTGCCATTGGAGGGCTTGTAGGTGATGAGGTTTGATGCAAAACGGTCTCGATACAGGGCCGGACAGGTGAAATTTCATCTGCTTGGAAAAATAAGCCATACAGCCAGGATTTCGCCTAGGAGGTGTCGAATCATATCATTCAGGCCCTTTCAGCCTCTTCGTCGCTTGGGGTCTGCTTATGGCTTGGGACCTTTTCAGGCTTGGAATCTTTCTTTGCTGCCTCGGGTGTCCGTTTAATGACTGCCTTAAAAGCCTTACGGTTCTCTTAAACTGGCAGAGTACTGAAGTATCTGGCCTCATCCCACCCTCCGCCCCCCGCCACGTCCAGGGATGTCTCAGCTCCAAAGTCCCCTGACTTTGCCACTGAACGCAGCATTTGGTAAATGGTTGTGTTGAGCACCTGCTACCAATTAAAAGAAGAAAACATCAGCCATGTCAATCCGAGATAACTCAGATGTTCTAAAAGCGAATGTTCTGTTCTGTTGTTCTTTGACAGAGACGTCTTGAATAGTCGCGAACATTTGACAACAAGAACAAATATCACTCATTTCCACACGTGTTTGACTTAGTGCCGTGCAGTGCGGCCGGGTAACATTATGAGCCCGAGAATGTGAAACTTTCAGCGTGGCGCAGGCGGTGAAATAAAGAGGTCACCGGGTCATGGGAATCCCACCATCATATTCAAGTAAAATTGCGCCGGGAAGATTAATGGCGGCCGTGTTTCTAAGCAAGGGATCTGGTAACTGGATCGCCGGCACGGAAAGTGACGAAACATTTGAAGAATCTTCTCACGCAACCACGGCCCTGAACCGACCGTGTCCGCCACGCTTTTGATTTAATAATAAGCGTAGATGATTGATAGCGTCGAGCGAAACCGGCGAATGTCATGACGAATTCATTACTCGTGCAGTGAATGTGCAGTGTGAGATTAAGATCAACATGTCAGGAGAAGAAGGAATGCTGTGCGGTGAGCTCTTATGCATGAATGAGACCCATCGTGTGACGCATGTGCATATAAATAAATAAATAAATAAATAAATAAATATATATACATATGTATATATATATACATATATATATATGCATATATATATATATATATATATATATATACATATATATATATATATATATATAAACACACATATATTGCCAACCTTCGCACAGCACGCAGCACTTTCGAAAGGAACTATAGTGGACTGGATGCGGCTCAAGTGTTAATAGAGAACAGCAGCTCACCAATGAATACGGGGGAGCTAACCGGTCAATACGGGGCAGCTCGCCGATCAATATGGTACAGCTCACCGATGAATACGGGAGCGCTCACCGGTCAATACGGGACAGTTCGCTGGTCAATGCGGGGCAGCTCACCGGTCAATACGGGACAGTTTACCGGCCAATACGGGACAGCTCGTCGGTCAATACGGGACAGGTCGTCGGTCAATACGGGACAGCTCCCCAGTCAATGCGGGACAGCTCGTCGGTCAATACGAGATAGTTTACCGGTCAATACCGGACAGCTCGCCGTTCAATAGAGAGCAGCTCGTCATGAGTTCGAATTATGAGTGTGAGCTCTGACTGTCAACGGAGCCCGAAATGAACGAACTGCAGGTTGGCGCAGGGCTTGAGCTGTTACTGCGCACGGAGTCTGTGGTGAGCGGACTGCCAGGTGGTGCAGGGCACCAGCCCGTGTCCCATCCACACCGTCCGGCTATCCGCAATCTGCGTCCGTCTGTCAGCAGTCTGACGTCTGACCTGATCCATGCGTGGTTTGTCAGTGACTGCCGGCTGTTCGCGGTAGGTTAGTCTATGGCTGAGACCTGACTGTGGTCTGCACGCGGCATTGCGCCCGATGTTGCAATACACGCAACCACTAGGTCAGTGAAAAAATGTGCACCATTCGGGCCGAAGTGCGCAGTTACTAGACCTGAAGAGCACGGCTGGCTCGTGCGGAGCCGGGGGGCAGGTGTTGCAGGTCGGATGTTGTAACTGCTGCGGCTGGCCGACGCTCGCCAGTCAGACCTGCGGCGGGTGGCAGGTGGCGGGTGGCGAGCGGCGGGCGGCGGGCGGCGGGCGGCGGGCGGCGGGCGCGGCCGGAGAGCGGGTGGGAGGCGCGGCACCGGCCCAGGCGGCGCCGATGGCCGAACACCTCGACAGGGGCCGCCCGCTGCGGCGGGCACGGCGCACCGCGCCTGACCAGGCGACGTGTGCGGAGCGTCTGCCCTCGTATTGGCGCCAGCTGCGGTACCGGGCTTGGCATAAGCCTGACCTCGAATAACAGCCGCAGATGTTACATACATTAATAACCTTCGCAATGTAAGCATTTGACGCTTAAAGGTCGATTGAGTATAAATAACTAGCCTACCAAGTGCCGAAAATAGAGCGCAAAGTACAGGCCAGTAGCGATTTTCCGCATTTTCGCCCTGCGATTGTTTGAACACACGGCTGCAGTCAGAGGCGTAGTCAAAGGGAAGCCCGAGGGCCCGCCCCCGCCCCCCTAGACCCGGATTTTTTGTGCTTCACCATAGATGGCTTCCGACAGAATGTAAAAATCGGCGTGATGCGTACCCTTCTGAGTCCCCACCGAGTTCTGGGTCCCCCCTCGCATGTCCCTTGGGTCCCTCCCTGGGTCCCTCCCTTAAAATGTCAAAGCTGCGCCACCGGCCACAGCCCAGTACCTGGAAGCAGGAATTTCATGCGGGAATGCCATCATGCCAACACCAATATCATATAATAATGATCATCGCACGTGGATGGGATATCTATTGCGGGGAGCGAAGGGCCGCATCAATTGCGACAGGAGAGGATCAGGACGCCCAGGGACTCCTCGCATCATCAACGATCATTTTGAAATGGGCAGCGCAGGAACCTGCATTCCAGCTCGCGCACAAAGGTCGCACCTCTGTGAGGAAACCGTAAACCAAGGCCCCTGCCTCCTTGTTGCGGCGGGACCTCCTGCCGCGCTCGCTGACCAGCTGGCCCAACTAGTTCCATGTTCTGTGCGAAAGCATCACTGGTATTTTGAGCGTTGAGAACCTGACGCCGTTGGGTCGGAGGCCACCACTCCTGTCCCGAGCTTCCCACACTGATCTGCAGCCGTCGCGGAACCTGACGTTGTCGCCTGTGTGCGCGCGTGCGGCATCAAACAGCAATGTCGCGTTTGGGGAAAACAGTCGAAAAGGCCTCGCGCCGCGACTGCCGTAAACGAAACCTCTGTGAAAGCGCCGGACTCGCCTATATTTCGGTATCAGCTGGCCTGATCCACTAGGTGGACATGGTGTCTAAACGTTTAGATTACCCGTGTTACAGACCTCAGTGCAGAACATCTCTTCATACGCGGATGGTTCATGCATGCACGCGAATTTGTTCACTGTTTTTTTTCTCGCAAAGTGTACGCAAGACACATCACTTGCTTTGGGGAAAGGAACGAAGGCGGAGAATCACCAATTTTCCAACGAGTAAGCCCCAAGGAGTTGGCACCCGCCGGACGTGGGGCGGCTACACCTTAAGGAATGAAAACTCGCAGTCTCTCACTTCGGCGTGTTCCGTGTATTTTGTGTAAACTCATCTATAACGTATGACAAGAAATGTTGCGTTAAACATGGCCGCCAGCGTCGTGACGAAGCACAAAACGAGAGAACGGACCGCAAACGAGGGAAAGGAAACGCGTAAAGCGACTGGCGCCCGCCAATAAACGTCTAAAATGACCCTGGGCCAGCGCTGGCTGCCCGAGTACCGCCCCGTGGCGGACGGCGTGCAGAGAACGCCATTGTACTCTGAAGAGAGGGAGAGCAGCGGTGGAGACTTACGTCGCTACCCAGATACCGTCGGTCGCACTCTATCGCGGCGGCTGCGGCGGCGGCGGCGGCGAGCGGACGACTACGCACACTGCGGCAGGCTGCCGCCCACATCACATGAAGCCCCGTCAGGCTGAACCGGCGCCACACACGTCCCATATTGCCAATAAACGATTAACAGCAGACACTAAGCATCACAGTACTTGACATATCGATAACTGCGCACTGGCGGCGCCGGTGCGTCTCTGCGAGGCCGGCGCGGCGCGCGCACGCGCCGGGGCCAGCGCCGGCGCGTCCCGACCACGCCGCGGCCGACTAGTTGAGGTGGAACCCCTTCTCCTGGGTAGCGGCCAGCAGACGGTCGCGCATGATCTGCTCGCTGCTGTAGTCGGGCAGCTTCAGGTAGTGCACGCACGTGTTGACGCTGGGGAAGCTGCCGTCGCCGGCGTCCACCTTCTTGACGACCGTCAGTCGGGGGTAGAGGTTGGCCAGGCCGCCAGGCGGCAGCGACGAGCAGCCCGTGGCGAACTGCAGGAACCGCTTCCGCTCCGGGCCAGACATCTTCTCTAGGATGCTGACGAACCGCAAAAAGCCCGGACTGCGGCAGCACAAGGATCACGGTCAGGACAGCCCGCGCACACGCTGGCGACCGTCCCACCGCCAGCCGCCAGTCAGCCCGCCGACCGCCACTCCAGTCCAGCAGCACGGGACGCGTATCCTGGTCTGCGTGTGAACGTCCGCACGCTTACACGCAGTGAGATGTCAGTGAGTGGGTTCGAAGTTTCGTCTCGTGAGACAAAGCCAAAGGGTGCTCCCGCCCCTATCTCAGCGACCAACAGCACGCCACAAAACACAAAACAGAAAAGTGAGCAGCGGCAACAAGCACAAACACGTGGAGGAAAAATGCACGGGCTGCTGGACAAGCCGACACGAATCATTAGCTAATCCACTAGCAGTGTCGAACGTTAAAACCCGTGTTAAGTTGCTGAGTGAACCGCAGAGTTAAGTGTGTGATGTAGTTAACTTGTGTAAAAGTGTAGCAACATGTGAATAATGAATCGCTGCGTAACTTGTGAATGCTGAAAACTTTTTCACATCATACTTAACACCGATATTACTGCAGTATTTGAAAATCACATCATGGGCAGTAAGATATCGACAAACGCGACGGTACAAATTAGCGCACCACCCGACACCGACTCTTGCCACAGTGCACGGGTGCCGACAGGCGCGGGCTGGCGGCGACGACGCACCCCCAGCGAGCGGAGGCGCACCACACACCTGTCCCGAGAGTAGCCGAGCTTGGGCTCTGTGTAGCTGAGAAGGTCGTCGCGGGTCCACGCCGGTGCCTGGTCGCCACACAGCATCAGCTTGGTCTCGTCCGGGCTGAACGGCCGCAGTCTGCGGCGGCGGGGTGGCCGCAGGGTCAGCGGACAGGGGACGCACGGCTCGCCGCGTACACGCGGGACACACACACACACATGCGGGCCGCGCAGAGCATACGCCGCACCGCGCCACCCCCACAGGCCAGACAGCCTCTCGCTGAGCGGGCGCCAACAGCCGGCAGCCGTTCCTGCCCACCACCGGTCGGCCAGGGCAGCTTCAGTAAAACCCTGACGCCTCACGGAGTCGACGGTGTCAGGCGAAAGAGAAACGTCGCTACTGAGAACATGTTTCCTCCAAGCCCGTCCACAGTGTCAACAGTTTACAAAACCGGTCAGATCAGCCTGCATGGTCCTATCATCAATATCCCCTCCCAGTACACATTTGTTTACCATCTGCTGAAGGTCATCGGGTAGCCAATGACTGGGTTCATCCACCATGTGTTCCTGAACATCGATCCGTTCTTTCAAAAGCTTAGGTTGAATGGAATCCAAGTTCACTCACAATGCGTGCCTATGCATTTGCAAACGTAGGCATACTGTGACTATTTAGCAGATGATATTCTCGTTTTGGTTGGCTGTTCTCTCGACCTTAGGTGCATCCTTTTTCAACTGGTGACCTATTTTGTCTGTCATACTTAAGCCCTGAAAGCATGCCTACCCTGAGCCTCTAACCTTGAAGCTCCTGAGGCGACCACCATCCTCAGACCGCAGAACGCCACTCCGTCAGCAAAACCAAACAATCTAGACTGCTCGGCAAATCCAAACAAGGCCAAAACAGACACACAAACAGACATAACCTCAGCGAGACGACCGGTCCGGGGCGCTGCGAGGCACCGTCTCACCTGGCCATGGCGAACACGCGGTCGAAGCCGGCCTTGAAGGCGTCCAGCTGGCGCGCCAGGCCGCGGCGCAGGTAGAAGTCGGCCATCAGCTCGACGTACTCGTCGACCGTCTGCTCGGTGACGTCCTGGTGCTCGCCGCCGGGCCGCAGCTCGCAGCTGACGTAGCCCAGCGAGCGCGACGGCGACGGGAACGTCATGGTGAGCGCCAGGTCCTCCAGCCGAGAGGAGCCGTCCACCTGCCGGCCGCGGCCCCGTCAGTCGAGGCGGCAGCAGCGCGCGCGGCACACCCCGCCCGCCTAGCCCAGCCGCAGCCCAGCCGCCACGACTGGCGCGCGCGTGGCGTGGGCACGAGGCGCGGCCCAGAGCGAGCCGGTGGGGCCAGTGACGAAGGCAAGGGCAGCGCACAGCCACAGACAGCTCCAAAAACGTCCTGCGCCAGCTACCTAGTGCCCCGATGTCAAACGGTATTCCACGAAGGAGCGTCGACAAAAACAAGAAACAAAAACAACAAAAACAAAAACAATACAAACAGACCTATCGATTCGAGCCAACCCAACACAGAGGATTACCCGTAACGATAATTGGGTGTGTAATATTAGTATGCTATTTGAATAGCCCGCCTTGCATCATTCCTGCCAACCAGTCGCCAGCGCGTCGGTCGACCCACGGCCGGCTGCAGCTGCCTCGCCATCAGTACGCCGCGAGTGAGCGCGGGGTCGGTCGGCCCACGGCCGGCTGCAGCTGCCTCGCCATCAGTACGCCGCGAGTGAGCGCGGCGCTGGCTGGCGGACGACTCACCGTCAGGTTGGCCAGCTGTCGGCGGCGCGCCTCCTCCGACAGCTGCGGATCCTGCAGGATGTGCTGCCGCCGAGAGGCCAGCTGGCGCAGCTGCTGCAGCACGCGCGCCCGCGCCGGGTCGATGACGGCCAGGTCGTCGAGCGTGAGCACGTCCTGGTACCAGGCGGGCGCCGTCGCCGCCGCCATCTTGGGCGGGTCCAGCTCCAGCTCCTTCTCGCTCTCCATCGAGACGAACGACGAGGTCATCAGGTCGTCCTCGCTGGCCGGCGAGCTGGAGCGGCCGACGCCGTCCATCCTTCAGGGCGGGAACGAGTCAGGCCTGGTGCCACCCGCCACACGGAAGACGGCCGGCGGCTGGCCGCCAGACGGCTGCCGGGAGGCGCCATCTCGCGGGCACGACAAAGCAGGGAGTGTGCTCCCTCAACATCAGCTCATCCCTGGCTGATATTCAGACACCAAGACTGACGCAAGGCGATGTGGAGAAGCGCGAAGCCGCCACGTTAAACCCTCAGCGTGCCTCTGAACACCACCCCGAGTGAGCGCACGCCATCGGGGATGGGCTGCCCGCGACGACACCCGCCCCGGCCGCCCGACAGGCCTCAGCCGGCTTATCCCCGAACGGAGCCTACCTGCTGTGCTCCTCGGCTACGTTGGCCGACGAGATGAGCTTGAGGAAGGGCCGGGAAAGTGGCAGGTCCACCAGCCGCGCGTCCTGCAGCACCTTGGCCAGCAGGATGCCCAGGAAGTGGAACATGGTGACGGCGCGGTCACACTGTTCAGAGTCCTGCAACACGCCCGGCGACGGCTCAGACACATGCCCCCCCGCGCATGCCACACAGTCGGCTGCCCGCACCGCCGCGCTCGGGCGACGTCCCCAAAACAGAGGGGCGATGTGGCGATTCCATACCACACAGACATCGCGACAACGCGCCAGCAGTGCTGAACGTGCCAGGCCCTGCGCCCGGCCCAGGCAGGGTTGGGGTCGGGGCCGGGGTCTCAGGGTCGGCGTCTCAGGATCACGATCAGGGTCGGGGTCGGGGTCGAGGTCGGGGTCGGGGTCGGGGGCTGACTGACCTGCGGCAACGGCGCTGGGAACAGACCCCCGGGCCGCAGCACGTAGTAGTCGGCCGGCCGGTCGCCTGGCGCCGCCGCCTCGACCTCGGCCGAGAGCAGCGGCTGGTCGTCGCACAGCCACATGCACAGGTCGCGCCGCTGCAGCTCGGCAGCCACCAGCGCGTAAAACTCCAGCGTCGGCCCCAGGCCGGTGCCCTCCTCGCCCTCGAACTCCATCTGGCGGCAGCGGCGGCGGCGTAACACCACGCCGGACGGCCATCAAACCGTACGGAGGCAGGCGTACAGCCCGGTGAACAGCCCGGTAAACACGGCCACACAGGAGCGGGACTCGCCACCGAGGCAGGCGTACAGCCCGGCGAACAGCCCGGTAAACACGGCCACACAGGAGCAGGACTCGCCACCGAGGCAGGCGTACAGCCCGGCGAACAGCCCGGTAAACACGGCCACACAGGAGCAGGACTCGCCACCGAGGCAGGCGTACAGCCCGGTGAACAGCCCGGTAAACACGGCCACACAGGAGCGGGACTCGCCACCGAGGCAGGCGTACAGCCCGGTAAACACGGCCACACAGGAGCAGGACTCGCCACCGAGGCAGGCGTACAGCCCGGTGAACAGCCCGGTAAACGCGACCACACAGGAGCGGGACTCGCCACCGAGGCAGGCGTACAGCCCGGTTAACAGCCCGGTAAACACGGCCACACAGGAGCAGGACTCGCCACCGAGGCAGGCGTACAGTCCGGTTAACAGCCCGGTAAACACGGCCACACAGAAGCGGGACTCGCCACGGAGGCAGGCGCTGATTCCATTCACAGCAAGCCCCCGAGACTCGATACGGACTTGGGAATACGTGGTTGCAGATGAAACCGACCACGATCGGATGAAGCAGATAGTGGCCATCAGCTTTAGGTTGACTCGAGACGGCTCTCAGTGACGTCCGACACCAGCTGGTGGCCGGCTCTCAGTGAGATCCGACACCAGGCGGTGGCCGGCTCTCAGTGAGGTTCGACACCAGCCGGTGGCCGGCTCTCTGTGAGATCCGACACCAGGCGGTGGCCGGCTCCGTGAGATCCGACACCAGCCGGTGGCCGGCTCTCAGTGAGATCCGACACCAGGCGGTGGCCGGCTCTCAGTGAGGTCCAACACCAGCCGGCGCCGGCTCTCTCCTCTCAGAGCGGTCCGACACCAGGCGGTGGCCACTCACCTCCAGGATGCCCTCTCGCTCGGCGTGGAAGTCCATGACCTGGACGGCCCAGTCGAGCAGGTCGGGGCCGCGCGGGACGCGCACCCGCTCATGGCGCAGCCGGCCCACGCGGAACTCGTGACCGTCGTCGCGGCGCAGAGCGGCCGGGCCGCGCGTGCGCTCCATGGCCAGCTCGCGCTGCGTCTGCAGCCACACGATCGACCTGCGCGCCACAGGCCAGCGAGGCAAGGCGTCAACAGCGCACAGACTGGCACACTGGACAAACGCCAAACACACAGACACGGCGCACGGAGACGGGGGGAGGACGACCTGCATCCGCTAAAGACGCCGGTGTCGACCGGCATCTGAAGTGAGACTCTAGAGCCAGCTGCGGCGGCGGCACGCCACACACACCAATCTCGCGGAAGGGCGCTAAATGCGCCGGCGCCGAGCGCTGGTGCTCGCCGTCGGGGACGCGCCCGTGCCAACGGTCCTGATGAGCCGGCCGTCGGCGCTCGCGCCCGTGACCGCACCTGGACGTGCCGAAGGCAGTGCAGTTGAAGAACATCTGGCGCGTCTCGAACGGAAACAGCATGGGACATTGTCCCTGCAGGCTGTGCGACCAGTCCGGCAGCGCCTGGCAGGCGAGCACCAGCGGGTCCTGGATCTGCTGGCAGAGCTTGTTCGTCAGCTTGCGGCTGACGAACGTCTCCCAGGGGATGTCGAGCGGCGGCTCGTCGTCGGTGTCCTGCTGGCGCGGCCGGCTCTCGCCCACCAGGTGGTACAGCCGCCGCAGCAGGTGCACCACATCGTCCACGGTGCACGGCGAGCCCTCGCTCAGCCGCTGCTGCAGCGAGCTCTTGCGCTCGGCGGCCGGGTCGGCGCGCCGCTCGTCGTCGCGCCGCTCGCGGTACACGATCGTGTAGACGAGCTCCCAGAGCCGGCGCAGCTTCTCCTGCTTGCTGCCCAGCTGGGAGCGCTGCACCAGCCGCTGGACGGCGCTGAACAGCGTGGCGTCGGGCGAGTCAAGCGGAACCTCGACGTCCGGCACGCCCGGCACGCCGGGGCCGCGCAGCATCAGCCGCAGCCGCGGCTCCGACGACGGCTCGTCGCCCGGCTCGCCCAGCCGCCGCGGTCTGGCTGCCCGGCGGCGGCACCTGGCGACACCCGAGGCACAAGCGTCAGGCACCGCCGCGGCAGGATGAACACGCCGGCCGGGAAACGCACGTGACGTCACCACATCGGAAGCACGGTGCCGGCCCGGCGTCGCCATCACCGGCATGCACGTGCGCTTCGCGAACCTTCGTTTTCGCTTCGCTTCTCACCCCACCGACATTCACGGCCCACTGAGCCCGCAGAGAACATGCCGGCCGGCCGGCGGCCGCGCCGCGGCTCCGCACCCGCCCGCCGGCCGTCCGCCCCGCTCACCTGAATGTCCTGCGTCTGGGCCACGTTGGTGCGGCCCGGCCGCGGGTCGAAGGCGGGAATGAGCGCCGGACACTGGCGCTTCAGCACGGTGTCGTCGTCCCAGGCGTGGCGGCGGCCAGGCCGCGGGTCGAACGGCTCCTCCTCGCCGCCGCCGCCACCACCGGCCGGCCCGCCGCCACCCTCGTACTCGTCATCGTCGTCGTTCTCGTCGGCCAGCTCGTCGTCGTCGGTGAGCTCCGCCAGCAGCGTGGTGTGTCGGCACGACTCGAGGAAGTCCTCCAGCGATACCTGCCGAGCACAGGACGCGGTCACCATTCGCTCAGTGGGATGTGCTACCCGGACTAAGCGTCCATAAACGGGCAGCAATTCACGGACAATGCAGGCTGTGGTAATGGAGAATACATGCCCATAGTCCCCACTAGGATTGTTCGTATCTTGCAAACTTCTCATTCTAGTGTGTGCATCACCACATATCAGGCGAACGACCATAAAACAGCTTGGGAGCGATTGCAGAAGTGCGAAGTTCACCGGGCACGTGAACATGACAAGCATTCCACAACCAAAACAGTAAAATGCACACTCGCATACACTTGTCCACAATGCTTCGAAAAACTGAAGAGCAATTGGAATACAAAAAAAAAGAAGAAAATGGAATAAGAAAACAGAAAGACCTTCAAGAGCTTCGCGTCCAACTGTGACAACTACGCCAAGGCGACCGTTCGGAGTTGTGCTGCGCGGGCGCGCTGTAGCTGCCGCCGCCAGAGCGCAGCGTTCGTTCTCACCTGCTCGCTGTCGGACGAGTTGGACGTGAGCGACATGGTGAGGCCCTGCGTGAGCGCGCTGGTGGCCGTGTTGGTCACCAGCGTGTTGCCCGACGACAGGCTGGGGAAGGACTGTGCTGTCGACATGAAACTCCCTGCGGGCGAGGCCGGACCAGGCGTCAGCGGCGCCACCGCCAGCACACGGCGCGCACCCTCCCTCCCCTCACGACTGCACGCGGGCCGCTCGCTGGGCTGCCATGCGCAAACAACCACCAGTCTGGCCGGAGCGGCGCGCTCCAATACCACTTCAGTTGGGGTGACATAGTCGGGTGAGACTGGTGTAGTTTTGCCACGGTATTACCGACGTTACGTTCGTAACCAGGTGTCCAACTAAGCCCAACCCCCTCAAACAATATCTCAGTTACCAGGTCACCCAGCGTATCCCACAAGTGGCGGTGGCGGCCGGGCAGCGGGGCGCTTACTGTGCAGCGGGATGCTTACCAGACAGCGGGGCACTCACCGAGCAGCTGGACATATAGCGGGTGCGGGGCGTTCACCGACAGCGGGGCACCCAGCTCACCGGGCAGCGGGGCACTCACCGGGCAACGGGGCACTCACCGGGCAGAGGGACACTCACCTGGCAGCGGGGCATTGAGCGCCAGGCGAGCCAGGCTGCTCATGCTGGTGGTGTTTGGCGCCCGCAGGAACGGGCCGCAGCCGGCGCCGGCGGGCGTGGTGACGGCCGTCGGCGCCGGGTACGCGCCGGTGGTGGCGCGCGACGAGCCGGCGCCGCTCGTGCCCGAGGCGCGCCGCCGCACCATCGCCGAGAACATCTCCAGCAGGCCGGCAGACTCGTCGTTCAGGTTCGGCGTGCTAACAGACATCGACGAGCGCTGGTTGTTGGGCTCGGAGGCCGTGACGGCGGCAGCGGCGACAGCGGCAGCGGCAGCGGTGGTGGTGGTGGTGATGGTGGTGGCGGCAGCGGCGGCAGCGGCGGCAGCGGCGGCGGCAGCGGCGGCGGCGGCGGCGGCAGCAGCGGTAGAGGCGGCCGGCGGCGGCGGGGGTGGCGGCGGTGGCGGTGGCGGCGGTGGCGGTGGCGGCGGCGGCTGGGTGGCCAGTGCCGCTTGGCACGGGAAGAACGGCGCCGCCGAGGTGGCCGGCGGTGTGTCGGACGCGCTGTCCTCGCCGCCCGACAGCCAGTCGGAGCTCTCCAGGATGGCGTCCATCTGCGGCACGAGGCGTCACGTCACGCCCTGTCACGCGCCCACTGGCAACTGCTGTCGACAGTGGAGTGGCGCCAGGACGGCATCACACACACGAGACCCGAAAACGCTCCTCACTCATCAGCACCTGGACGAACACCCAGCACCCGTCAGAATAACTGACGCATTGATGTTTGAACACCGCGGGACTGTCTCGCACAGCACGGCCTGCACGAGTGCCAGCTTTACTCCTCGCACTCCCGCTCACCTTGTTTCCGAACACCACCCGAGAGAGGACGGAGTCCGTCGTCTGGTCCAGCGACGACATGGCCACGGCGTTGGCCAGCGTCAGCACGTTCTCCGCCACCGCCTCGGCCGCCTGCTGCGGGACGGAGCAGAGCAATTTCAGGGGCCGGCAAACACGTCCTCAGTGACGAGAATCACTGGTGGCTCATACAGTCGACCACACGCATGACCTCGACGATCCAAAAACGCATGGCCCGCGCAATACATTCCGAGCAAGTTGACCACAGCCATCTGGACCCCCAATACACCACCCGTGTGAGCTTTTCTGAGCTATTGGTAGATGTCCCACGCCAATGAGTGACATCTTCACCGCGGCGCACCGGCCGTGCGAAGCCGTCTCCGGCGGCGGCACCGGCGCAGCTTGGTTCGGCGGTCGCCGCGCGGCTGGCCTACCTTGGCGGCCAGGTTGTCGGCCGAGGCGGCCTGCTCGGTGGAGGCCACCGAGTGCCGGTCGTCGGTGGCCTCGGGCAGTGACGGCGTCGAGGACGACTTGCGACTGGTGAGCACCGACTGGCGCGGCTTGGCGGTCGACGTCGACGGCGGCGCGCCCGACGACGGCGGCGCCGACCCGGCTGACGGAGAGGTCACCTGGGAGCAGCGCCAGCGACGCTGACAGGCGGGCGCCGACACCCGAGACCGGCCACGGTCACACGGAGGACGAGTCCAGCCCCGGCACGGGGGCACACGAGCCGGCACACAACCACGCATGGGACGCCCGCCCACACATCCAGTCATGCTGGCTGGGTTCCGGTCGCACAGACAGGACCACCACCCAGACGCCGGGTCGAGGCCGAATGTAGCGGGCGGGCGGCTGACGCCAAACATCATCGTACGCCAGCATCGACAAGGAGCACGCCGACAGTTTCCTGTCGAGTGGGCCCACACAGTGCCGGACGCCGGCACCCTCCGGCCGGCGGAGCACGCGGCAGAATCCCGCATCGCCAGACCCACCTTGACGACGGCGGCAGAGGTGGCCGTGGCGCTGCCGGACTTGGCGGCCGCCCGTACGCCCGTGTTCGACTCCGGGTCGTAGCCGGGCGCCAGGCATAGGTCGAACTTGCCCTCAGCGCCCATGCGGTACGAGTTGCTGCCGCCGTTGTCCCAGGTCACGTCGATCCAGCCTGCGGCACGCCGGCGGACCGATCAGCTGAGGTTGGCGGGGCCCGTTCGCGCCAGAAACGCGCTGAAGACTCAGCTGTGCACCACGGCTGCACTTGGGTAGAAGAGCTGGACAGAAGCCGACCAGCCCAATGAAAGATCGGGTTGTTCACCAAAACGTCACAATCCACGTGACGGCGAGCCTCGCAAGGAGGGCCAACAGTACACCACCGCTCCTTCGGGGAGCGTCGGGTGACGGCTCGATGCGCGCCCGGCGCCTGTCGTCGGTCCTCTACGGAGCCGGGGGTGCCCCCGCCGGCCCGAGCCTGGGCACGGCTTTGCGCCGCTCACCGTTGTGCAGCTCCGACATGCTGGTGCCGACGCCCGGCGGGATGCCGTCCTGGTCACGCCACTTCCAGTCGACGCCACGCACCACGCGCGCGCCCGGCACCATGTACTTGAGCTGGTTCTTGATCTGCGGCGAAGGGACCGGGCAGCGGGTGGTGAGCGGACGCTCGCAGCCGGCGGCGACCCGTGGCCAGACTAGCCGCTCTCGCTGGACACACTCCAGCCCAGTGAACCGTGCCGACAACGGTGACCTCGCTCAGAACGAGTCCGAAAGTTTTTGTTCATCCCAGCGAATGCAAACGCAGAGCCTATCCAAACTGTCTCTACCGCCGACCATCACTGCACGCTGGCAGTCCATTCGCTCTTGCTCTTGACAGCGACCGACACTCTTCGCCGCCAACATAGCCGCCTACGCCAACCGACACAGCTGCACATTCCCGCCCCACACATGCATAATAAACGAACCGCTCTGGCCCCGACCCCGCAGCAGCGTGCGCGGGCTCCCGCGGCGCGGCGTCGCGCCCGACCCCGCGTGGGCGGCGGCGGCGGCGGCTCACCTGGCGCCTTTGTCGGCGCAGCGACGCTTCCGCCTCGCGCGCCGCCTTGCCCAGGTCGCTGCAGACGCCCGTCACCGTGCCGTACACTTCCAGCCCGGAGAGGCTGAGGTAGTGGGTCTGTCCGGACGCGTTGCGGCCCGTCTGCTGGATGCGCACGTGACGCCAGCCCTGGCGGGGAGCGGCCCGGTCAGGGGAGACGCGCCAGCCGAGACGAGCGCGCCCCGGCAGACGGCGAACAGCACGGCACGCCGGACGGCCACATCGAGACCCAGCGTAGAGATGCGACATGTGGTGCCCGAGCGAGACCGAGCAGCTGGCAAACCAGCCCGAGCGCCATCTCCTCAGAAACAGGCCGTATTTCAGCAAAAGCTAGATGCCTCTGCAATAGCACCTGTCTATAGATACGTCAGCAAATGTCACCCCTCACAGGCATTTGGCTGCATCCGAGGACCTCCTCCACCGTCGGCCGGGACCCCCCGCCGCCCGGCTGGACAAACCTGGGTCCGCCGGCGGGTGACGCCCGCCGCCCGGCTGGACACACCTGGGTCCGCCGGACCGCCCGTCTGCTCACCTGAGTCTCGTCGGTGGGCGCCAGCAGCGGCCACGAGGCCGTGCTGCCCGGCTCATTCAGCGACGTGTCCTCGATGTGCATGTACAGCGTGGTCCACGACAGTCCGTCCTTGGACACCTGGCGGCGGCAGCAGTCACTGCGTCACCAGCCGGTGCGCGCGACGGAGCGTGTACGGGCACGCGCAAGGTGCGCTTCACCAACTCGAGAGCGTTTACAGCCCAGCTTAAGAGCACACCACCACTGTCACCACTCTCCAAACGACATCACGTCAAGGGAAGTCTTAACACAGCTAATGGCATGCAGCACTCCCCCCCCTCCCCCCCCCCCCCGCCGAGCCCGGGCCGTGGCGCGCTCCCACCGTCCGCCGGCGCGCGGCGCGCGACGCCCACTCCCCCGTCTCACCTGGAAGACCCAGTTGCGGAGCGCGCTGCGGCCGTAGCCGCGCGCGTGCCGCAGCGTGTAGCAGGTGGGGATGACCCAGAGGCCGAGGTCGACGGCCAGCCAGGCGCGCTTGTCGTCGTTGGTGTGGCAGTTGAGTGGCGTCGGGTCGCGTGACAGCACGTCCTCCAGCCGGCCGTACGGCAGGTTACGGCCCTCCGACGACGTCACCACCACCAGGCCGTACTGGCACGGGTTTACCCACTCGTAGGCCGTCCTGCGGCGGCGGCGGACGCTCGATAAGAGGGAGGAGGCGACGGCGGCCGCGTCAATGCCATCTCCGCTCACATTCGCTGTGAGAACGTCACGAGCCTTGGGTTCACTGGACATATGCAAGGCATAGGGTCTCAAATCAATCACTGCCGGCAAGCAGCACCTGCCGTCACCAGACGTGATGACCTTGCATCGCGCACCACCAGCATGTCATTCCGCAAATCACAAACTCCGCCCGACACCGGATATGGCTTTCCGCCAACTGCCGAGCCTGACCCAAGCTTCGGCGGCGGTCTGTCGTCAGCCACTCACTTGGCGTTGGTGCCCACCCAGTAGATGATGCCGTTCTCATCGAAGTCAGACTGGTGCGTGAACACGATGCTCGGGCTCTCGCGAATGCGCTTGACGAAGGTGAAGGTGGACCGGTCGTGGTCGTACCACTGCTTGGCCACCTGGCAAGGTCGGCGGGCGGTCAGACTACGGCGAGCTCCGGCAGCGCCGCGGGCAGGCCCCGGCCGGACCACCGTACCGCGCCTGAAGCCGGCCCTCCGGCCGACACCGCACTGACGACACTCAGGTAGCGACTGCACAGCCGTAACGACACCCGCGACCCATCGACATAACGCGACACGACACATGTGGCCCATCGACATAACACGACATGGCGACACCCGTGGTCCATCGACATAACACGACATAGCGACACCCGTGGACCATCGACATAACACGACATGGCGACACCCGTGGCCCTTCGACAAAACACGACATAGCGACACCAGTGGTCCATCGACATGGCACGACATGGCGACACCCGTGGTCCATCGACATGGCACGACATGGCGACACCCGTGGTCCATCGACATGGCACGACATGGCGACACCCGTGGTCCATCGACATGGCACGACAAGGTGACACCCGTGGTCCATCGACATGGCACGACAAGGCGACACCCGTGGTCCATCGACAGGCCCAGCGCAGAAACCAGTCCAGACACAAGGGCCATGCAAACACATCCGGCACATAACGTGCGTGGGCCACCAGAAAACCTAGCGTCCGCATCCATGGTACTTTGGGGTGATAGGACGGATAACAGAGATGTTAACGACGGAGCAGGCCACAGGGCACGGCAGGACCACGGGGGAGTAGGACGCACCTCTTCAGATCGGCCCAGCACCGTACCTGTTTGAGGAGGTAACGCTCGAGCTGGCGGACGGTGACCAGCGGCTCCATCTTGAGGGTGCGGCCGGTACAGTCGATCAGGCCGGAGTCGCTGGCGGCCCGCTCCAAGCGGAACCGCATCCGCAGCTGCAACACCTGCCGCGGGGGCGCGCCCAGCCGCTCAGGTCGCGGACGGGTGGCACGTCGCAGCGGCATTCCAGGGGCATTCGATGGGCGAGGAGACGGGTCTCGAGCGGCACAATGCCCAAGGCACGACTCACACGTCTGACGATCGATTACACTAAAAGAGACGCGTACATTGTCACTGGTCAGGGCAGTGTCCATCGGACAAAGATTGCGATTCGAACGTCACATCCGTTGTCGGCAGCGAGGACGGCTGCTGGCCCGCGGCAGCGCCCGCCGTTCCCTGCCGACACCCTCCCCATCACCCAGCGGAGCGGCCGGCCCAGCTCGGCGCCGGACCCGGGCCGCGCCCGCTCACCTGGAGTCCGCTGACGGTGCCCGTCGAGTCGTAGTTGTAAACCTGCAGCTTCTCGATCGACTCGAGCACGGAGACCAGCTTGCGCACCAGCGACACGCCCGGGTGCTCCTGCGACGCCCCAGCCGCCTCCTGGCGGACAGCAAGAGAAACGGCGTCAGACGCCAACCCCGCCGGCCGTTCAGACCCGCTCCCAGCATCGACTCATCACGATCAGCAGGCTGGCATCGCGACCGAGACCAGGCCGGCAAGTGGCCGTCCGCCGCCGGCCGTTCAGAGACCCGCCCGCAGCACCAACTCATCACGATCAGCGGGCTGGCATCGCGATCGAGACCAGACCGGCAAGAGGCCGTCCGCCGCCGGCCGTTCAGACCCGCTCCCAGCACCGACTCATCACGATCAGCGGGCTGGCATCGCGATCGAGACCAGACCGGCAAGAGTGCCATCCCCGCCGGCCGGCCGCCAGCGGGTGGCGTCGCCGTCGCCACCAGCCTCACCTGGAAGCACTGCTTGAAGAGTCGCTGTCGCTGCTTGAGCAGCCGGTTGGCGCGCCGGCTGGTGCGGTCGGGCGAGCTGAGCAGCCGCAGCAGCGCCTGCAGCAGGCCTGACGAGTGCAGCTCGTACGCCGAGACGGCCCGCTCGTCCGACAGCAGCGTGATCAGGTCGCCGAGCGCGGCGCGCAGGATCGGACGCCACTCGTCGGTGCTGTCGGCGGCGGACGCGGTCAGCGGCGGGCGCACGCGGCCCGCCACGGATTGGCGCAAAAATCCGGCACCGGTCACCGGTCACCAGAGGCCGTACGCCGACCCCCTCCCCCCTCCCCACGCATACACACCTCAGGCAACAGACCGACACACACGCGGCTGGGTGCAAACGCACACGCATTCGCCGATCCCGACTCGCAGTCGCCACGATCTGGGCAGCAGCTGGGAGCGCCGGGCAATGACATCCCAGGCTATCGCTCAGCGCGACTGATGACACGACGAGAGAGGCTGACGCCGGCTCCGCGTCGGCCCGGCGCGAGCGAGCGGGGCGCGGCGGCCGCCCGCCTGTCCGGCGCGTCCCCACACCCACCGGTCAACGGCTGCCAGCTGTTTGTGGCAGGCGCGCTCGATCTGCGCCACGATCGTGCCCAGCTTGGCGACCACGCCGCGAGGCTGGGACTGCGCAATCTTGAAGTACTTCTCGTAGATCTCGCGCGCCTGGGAGCGCACCTGTAGGCATCGGACCCAAAGTTGAGTCAGGTCCAAGTCAGTCAGTCAATAGAGTCGACACGTCTCAATACGAGGCTCAACGTATGGAGACGACAGATAACGTAGATTCGTCGCAAATGCTCTCTGCCTCTCTCTGCTCAGCAAAAATTACTTATTGTGCGGAGATTATTCCAACTGAGTTTGCACAGCAACGGCCCGATACCAGCACACCGTCCGCACCTCCTGCCGACA